ATTCCAACATTCATTACTCGAAAATCATCAAATTTCAACAACGATTGAAATTCTAACGATAATTCATATGTTACAACTTCATTAAAAAAAATTCCAACAACAATTTCAGAAGAGTGGCTGCTTTCCATTGAAATTTTTATTCATTTTTTACAATTTCAAAAACAGTTTCTAACCGCTAGAATTATTTGACTAGAAAACAATTTTAATGAAAATTCTACAAAATAAACTATTGAGAAATTATTGCTTGAATAATCAAGTTTCAATTAAAATTAATGAAAAAAAAAAAAAGAAAAAAAAGTTCTATTATCCTCTGCAAACCTAGTTAATTAACATTAATAAGGTCATATCACAAAATTAAATTGTGTCACAGCACATTTTCTCAATACATGTGAAAATGAGTGTTTTCCTTAAGCCCTTGTTTTGGCCTCTTTTTCTGAGGTAGTTGTGAATTTTGATGCCAATTTTATTTTATCTTTAGACAAAAATTACATGAAAAAAGTGAACTAAAAAAATAAATAGTCCATCAAGCGGTTGTGCAGGTCACGGTTAGGACTCATAATGGAGAAAAAAAAAGTTGGTCATATTAATTTGCCTCAAATTGGGAGCTTATAATTTATTCTCTTCTGTTGTGATCCTTTGGAATTATAATATAACAAGAGCTAACAGCCCTACGATTTTAAGGGAGTTTGTTAAATCTCTAAGTCCAATACCAACCACCGACCACCGATGAGGTCACATTTGGGATCACCACTTTTTATAACTATTGGATTTAGGCGATTTAATAAGTCTGGTTTTTATAGCATCACACCTTACCGGTATTTCAATATTTTTTGCTTCACTCTATAGATTAAATAGGCAATGAGTTAAAATCTAGGATTAGTTTTATTTATGGTTTGTCACATTTAAATACGTTATTGAATATTATATATAACATAATTAATACTTCATATTCGTAGTTTTAATATAGTTCTAATTTGTTAGAAGTATATTTGTCTTATATGTATTTCGTCCCTTCTTGACTTTAACGATGGAGACGACATTTAATTCAGTAGTTGATAAATTGAAATCATGCTTCAAATTCGCGCTTGTTTTCTGATATTTTTGCATATTCATAACATTGATCAAATGAAAAGAAGGCTTGTAAAAGAGTGAAGATCTTTATGCCTACTCGGATTCGTGATATAATTTTCACTACATTGAATCTTAATTATGTAATTACGTGCAAATTAATATGTGTTTAAGATACTATATTTCTAAACACAACTAGAGCCGAAATATTTCGTCATAACTGAATAACTAAAAATAGGAAATTAATTATATAAGCTTTATATTTTAACAACAGAACCAAACATTCCTATATTTCCTAACATCAGCAAGTGGTTAACATATTATATACTCACATGAACAAACAATTTTCACGAGATATTGCGCCATCTCTTGCTGTCGAGACATATGGTTCCAAGTCATTCTATCAACTGCAAATTGGCCATTGAATTTTGCTTATTATTATGTTTTGCTAGTTTGTTATGTAGCAAATATGTTCAAATTTCCTGTTTTTGCTCAATGTTTTAATATAATTAAATACCCATTCGTTACATACGTAATATTCAAGCTAGACTATACAATTTCTTTAATGAACACATGAACATAGACTATAAATAAAAATTCAAAAGATATTTTATGAAAATAAGAAATATAAAAGAAGAATTAGGAAAGAGAGGAAATTAATGCATGAAGGTTAAATTGTGGACCTTAGACTCTTCAATCAGTTAATCGTACACATCTCTAATTATAAATGCTATTTCCACATTGCAAAATCATTTTTTTCTTTTTTTTTTTTGGTATAATAAGAAAAAAGAAAAAAAAAATATTTAAGGCAAAATGTTCATGGACCACATACCAGTTCTCATTTATTATATCATGATGCTCATCTCTAACCAAATCTATCCTTAACTGAGCCTTGTTCATCATCTCACATTAAAAAGAGAAACGTTTAGACGGTTGGGATCAGCCCATATCCACAGGACTTCATTGATTATCATCAAAATTAGTTGAAGAAAATTGGAATTACAAAATGGATTTTATAGAAGAGATGCCAACAAGAAGAAATTAAAGTTGACTGGCATTTCATAAATGTCAAACGTATAAAATTCGCACAATTTCATGTAATAAAAATTGACTTGTTAGGTTATGATGCATATGTTTTCAATAAACATAGAGTTAATCTCTTTACTTAAATTATATGCACAACAGAATTTAAATTTTATTGTAATAAAAATGACTGACGTGTATTTTCAATAGCACAATTTGTAAGAATAACTAACATGAATCGTAAGAATATATACAACTTGTAAATTTTTGAATAGTTGACTCACACTAAACCTTCCCTTTAGATGCTAGATTTTCTTAAGATTAGTAACAAGGATGATCAATAAATTGGTGTATCATATAGTTAGTAACAAATGAGACATATATGAACCACAAGTTAGGATATTAATTGAAGACAAAAGATCCCAAATACTCGCAACCGGCCACGAATATCTTTTAATAACATCATTCATTTATATATTATGGTGACTAAATGTACCCTACTTATTAATGCACTTGTTCTGAAAGCCATGCATCTACTTTAACTCTATAATTTGGCTCATTAAACATCCATCGATCACTCTTTGGATCTACAGTTTTTTAATATATTTAATCAAGTTTCTTTTAAGTCAACATCATGCAATTGTATAAAACAAATCATGCCAACGAGCATCTTTCACGGGACCAAATTCTCATTTCATTTCCCATTCTTTTTAGATGAACGATTTGAACAATTAACAACCATTTTAATTGTAAGCTTGACCTTTCCAATTTTATCAAAAAAATTAAGAAAAAAAAAGTCTAGTTTTCATTTTANTAAAAAAAAAACTAATGGTTCCACCAAGAAATAGTAAAACACAATTTTTTATTTGAGACAGTTTTTAACAAATATTCTATAAAATATCATACTTTTATTAATATTATTTTCTTCAGAAATATTTTAGTTTTAAAACATGCATAGTTGTTGAAAAATTATAATTGTCTAACCATTAATTAGCCATACGATTGGACCAACCCAATAATGCATATACAATGCACAAAATGGGATAAATCTATACTATACTACTCTAAAAGGACGAGTATTTTTGTAAAACTATAAACTACCTAAAATAACCTTATTTTGACATATTTTTAATGGCAAATTAGTAAAACACTATGGTAACGCAAAACACTCCAACCGGCTTGAAATCGGTTCGCCTTCCTCTTCCTCGCCGGTAGAACGCCGCACACCTGCACAGAACTCTCACACCGGAGGGGTTTTCCGATGAAGAGCCTCTGATGCTTAAGTCAGTATGTGTTTGTTCAATTTTCCAAAGTAAAGAATGGATAAATTGTAAGTCACAAGAAAAGACCCACTGCCATATATATAGGAGTGAGATACCTGCCCTAGGAGGTGCCCGGATTTTGGTGAGCTGTCCTGCCCGTACTGCCCGTCCGTACACACATAGTGTGCGTATGTCAGAGATGTCAGAGGTGGTTATCGCCACTATTGCTCTGCACCAATGTATTCTCGCCACGTGTCCCGGTGAGCTGGGGGAGATTATTCTTCTGCGCAGGCCGTTGGGATCTTCTAACGCCACCCACGCGCTTTCTCGCGTTCAAGCCACGCTCTCGACTGCTCTCCCCCTGCTGGGTGCTCGATCTGATCGAGCCCCCCCATCGCTAGGTCGATCCTCGACCAGTTCTGCTATTCTGCTCGATCCCTTCCCTTTTGGTCGATCATTCTTCGACCAATGCGGTTTTCTCTACTTCAAGCTTGCCCGATCTACGCGGTAGGCCGGTCTATTCCTTAGTCATATAATATCCCATATCACACTAATACATATCTTATTTTATATTTTTAATTAAAAACTAAATTACCTAAAAAACCCTTACTTTAACATGTTTTTAATGAAAAATTAGTAATACACTAATACCCATCATATCTTATATTTTTAATTAATAACTAATGCTTAATTAATTAAATACAAATACATGAACAATACATTTCACATCTCCTAAAAATCAAACAAAATATTCATTCTCACACCATTATATCTCACGAAATGGCTTTCTTCCACATACATATCTCCCAAAAGTCGACCCACCATGAACCTAAACAACAAAGTTTTGAAAAGATATAGAATTATTGTTTTAAAAAAAATCCTTGTTTTTAATATAATTTTATACATTCTCTGACAAACTAGAAAAGTTGAACAATTCATTTAGCTACTTCATTATTTAAGAAAAGTAAACTCTTATATTTAGGATTAGAATAGAAATTGCACTTTAGTCTTACAGGATTGAATTTTGATCCCACAAAAATCGTCATTTGTTTGTTTGTTTGTTTGTTTTTTCCAATTTTAGTCACAAAATGAATAAAATTAACGAATTTTCACTTCATGACCATTAGATGGTTAATATCAAGGTGAGTAATATTTAATTATTATTTAATTATTTAATTTTATTTTTTTAATATAACATATAAATATCATATTAAAATATAAAATAACAATTATTTTCGTTATTTAATATTTAATACGTAAAAGGTTGTAATTTAATTGAGCAGAAATATTTTAATTTTAAAATATGCATAATTGTTGAAAAATTATAATTGTCTAACCATTAATTAACCATACGATTGGACCAACCCAATAATGCATATAAAATGCACAAAATGGAATAAATATAATAAAACCCATACCAAACACACCTATAAAGTAAAGTTTGTACATTGTCTCCACTCTAAAACCACGGTCCCTACTCCCTACAATAAAATTTAATAAGAAGGCAGAAAATCCAACGTGCAAGGCCATATAGCTCATTAGCTCTTGGCTACTTTTCTCCCTTCAAATTCAAATCACTCCAATTTTTTTCCCACTAAGATTTAAGCCAAATCCCCATATTTTCCCCCTTCCATTTTTCTCCACAAAATGTCGAAGGGAAGCTCGAGAACGGTAAGCGCCAGCCGAGCCATCTCTTCAAAAGACGACGACGACGACAACAACAACAACAACAATTTTTTCTCCAAGCTCAGTAGAGAAAGGCACAACCCTTCGAAGCAGGGGGATGCATCCTTCCGCGTACCGTACTACGGTGGGGCCCACTGCGCCGTACCATTCCTCTGGGAGTCCGAGCCAGGCACCCCCAAGCACCCGCACGGCCACGGCCTAACTACGCCCCCACTCACCCCTCCGCCGTACTACTTCCGTGGGCCCCACGTGCAGAGTAGTAATAAAACGACGACCAAAAGCTCGTCGATATTTCCCAAAATGCCCTCCTCCAAGAAATTCAACAAATTACACAACTCCAACTCATCCCCTCTGTTTTCGCCCCACTCGTCTTCGTCGTCCTCGTCTTCCTCGTACTCCGTGCCCTCGACACCCGTGCACGCGCGGAGGAATATAATCGTCCGTGATTATGATGATGATGACGAGGATGGTTATGATGTTGACGTGGCGAGAGCCCGTTCGCCAACGTCGACATTGTGCTTCGGGCCGAAGAAGATCAAGGGTTGTTATTATCCGATCAAGAGCGTGAAGAAGGTTGTGATGTCTATGGTTAGGCAGGGGAATTAATCAATTGATTGGTTTGATTGATTAATTGGGGGAGTTTAATTTAAGTTTGTGTCGTGTGTGATGTTCGTCTTGTACATCATCATGAGGTATCAATATCATCATCACTGTAGGTCGTGTTTGGGTGGTTTGATTGCACATTGTGGATTGGTGAAGATTGAGTCATGTGATTAAATCTGTGATTTGTGTGTCCCTGAATTTGGTGTGGTGTTGAATATTCGAAGGAGACAAAAAGTGCAGTTAATCAGCGTTTTTAAGCGTGATTTGAATTTAAATCTCCAGGTATTTTGTGCATTGTGTCTTAATTAAGTCTCTTTTCATTTTTTTTTTATTATTTATATTTTTTAATGATTTTAAAATGCACCGACACCAAGTAGGCTCAATCAGTCTCTCTCTCTTGCTGGTGGGGCAAAGTAAAATTTAAGCCGAACACGTGAAACTTACAATATTGTATCCACATCTGACTAAGATTCACTGTTCTTGCTTTTCTTTATTGAAAAAAGTTACTTCACTTAAAAAATAAATAAATTAATAAAATTAGGGAACTTTCAAGGTGATGTGGAGGAAGAAGTTATGAATTATGCACTTAAATGGAGTTCATAAAATTGTAATTGTCAATGAATGATGTGTGTGTGTGTGTAAATTGCCTTGACATAATCAGAATCTCATTTATATGCTGTGAGGTAGACACAATTAAAAGATGTTACTATTATAGGTTAGCACTGGTATTAATTTAGGGGTGCATGATTTAAACTACCTTTGTTGAGTTTATAAAATGGAAAAACTCAAACCTCAAAAATATCAATCCCAATCAATGTGACTTGTAACTTGTAAGATCAGACACAATATAATAAATTGTTTTTAATTTAAGTGTGATATTTCAGCTTAAATACACACTGACCACATCACCAATACAATTACTTTATAAAGGTTGTTTGAGTTTATAAATTGGGGAAGTACTAAAATCTAAAACATATATCAATCCCAATCAAAGTGACCTGTAAGATCAGGCCCGATACAATAAATTATTTCGGTTCAGATCAAGTTTTCATGAGTTCTCATACACGTGTCATCATGAAAAATTGTTTTAACTTGCTCAATTCTGAAATTTCTGGTTTGTACAGCATTCAAGTTGTTGAGGTCTATGAATGAGCCATACTGCCATAGACAACAAAACAATTTCTTCCTTAATAAATGTGTATTGTAGAATATTTACTCCTGATAATGGACCATATAATTATGCATAAAACACTCCAGAATAATGAAACTATATTCATTTTTACTAGCTAGGTGATGAGACATTAATCTTAATTACTAGTTATATGTAGAAGATGTGGAAATTCGTTGTTGTTGATTGCATCTTTTGGATTTTCAATATGCATAAATAATTAATAAGGCGCACCTCGAAATCTTTCTATTATATAATAACAAAATAATGATTTATTTCATATTTTTATAGCCAATTTAATTTTTATGAGATATGCAATTAAATAATTGATTAGGATATTCTGCAAGAAAATGATGAAGATCGCAATTTCAAGGAATATTTCAATGCTCTCACTCAATATTTTCAGCGGAATTTCTTTAAAAAAAAATCGTTAGTATTAGTTTTTTGTTGGAACTTTTATTGGATTTTAACGATACTAACAAGAATTATTCCAAGTGATGAAATATGACAAAAAAAAATAAAGAAGAAATCCATCTGAGATTAGATATTCCAAAGAAAAATTCTAGAACAATAAACCGTTGAAAAATGAAAGTTTCAATTAAAAGTTAATTACAATAGAATATTTTAATATTGATTTATTTTGGATTCATTGAAAATTTTCAACAAAAATTGTGACATTGAAATATCTGTTAAACTTTTATTGAAATATCTTACCATTTAATTTTCTATTTGAATTTGGTATGTCTTTTTCTTGCAGTGGAAAGCATAGAATTTTTATTTTTTTTCCTCTCAAATCATCAAATATTATAGAACCAAATTAACTTTGATGTACAGGAATCGACAGTCAAATGACCGCAAAACAAGAGGGTAGCCTGAACAAAGGCACCCTAGGAGACCAAACAAGTTCATACACAGTACAAACCAAACGAATAAAGAAACTAAAGAGAAAAACCTCCACAACCCTACNCAAACTAAGAACAATCAAAAAGGAAAAAAAAATAAGAACTCAATTAAAATGAGAATGACATTAAATCAAGATGTCCAAAATCCACTCATATTTACTTAGCGCATACATCAAGTATTGCCATGAAATGTCAATTCAAATATTGAAACAATATGACGTAACACAATTATTTTTTCTCCTTTCATTACTTCTTCCAATTTCATACAAGGGAAATAGAAAAAAACTGGCTTCTAATCCAAGGTCAGAAAATTTTGATACTTTACCAAAATAGTTGGTATCCATACAATTTAAATTTGAAAAAAAATAAAATAAAAAAACTTACTGATGTAGCTAAATACGGTCACAGCAATAGTCAACGCAAATGTCAATCAAGAAGATTTAGCGCAACTGCCTAGTATAGAAAAAGAGTTTATGAAAAAACCAACTACTGAGATTATTTAGTAAATTACAGATTAGTTTTCTAAAATACGTGAAATTAATAACTGCTCAAATTTAAATCTATAAACAACACAATTTGTTTTTACACCAACTGAATATATTTTTGTATATACACAAATCACCATTTAAATCACTAAACAATCGAATTGTTTTTACACCAACTTAATATATTTTTATTTACACAAATCACCATGCAGATGAACAACTAAAAAAAAAATTAAAACACACTACCAATGAACAAATTGAAAAAAAAAATAAATAGAATACGCTACCAATTCGCTTTAACATATATAAAATATAATGATTGAAAACAACCATTACGCAACTACCTATTCACTCATTAGAAAACGAAAATTCACTCCATTGATACCCAACGTTCCCTGTCCAACAATTTTCACAATTTCACAATCTCAAAAAAAAAATAAAAAAATCATTGATTTCTCCTTCGACGACCTCTGCCTCCCAATCTCCGACGCCTCGACCACCACTTCGAGCCCACGCTATTCCCAACACCACGCCCATGACCTCGGAAAACTGGAAATTGACCACTGGTATTCATCGAACACGACGAGGGGAGACCTCCCCGATTTTGTCGATCGCTGCGGTGAACACTAGTGGCGGCCGAGGAATTTGCACCATGGCGGTGGCGGTTTCATGAGGTGAAGAGAGAAAAAATTGAGAATGCATAGAGTTGCCAATTAAGAGAGAATCAGGGATTACGTTTGGCGAGGAGAAAATAAGATGAAGAAGAAAAAAGAAGATGAACAGTCATAATTTTAGCAAAAAAATCTTTTAAAATATTTGACAATAAAGGTAGGCAATAACTGTCTTGAAAATTGATGAATCGCCTTATCATTAAAACCACGTAAAAAGATAAAGAGGAAAGTAAGTTTATAAAAATATAGATACCAAACATAAAGAATAATAATGACTTGTAAATAAATAAATAAATAATAAACCATCGCAAAAACGCCATTTTGTCAGTTTAGTTTTCACTTTCCCAATGAACTGTACACTGACCACTGATGTTTGATGTTCTTGATAGCCCAGCCCAATATTATTCTAGTTTGAAAGCGCCTTACAAGCCCATCATTATTACATTTTTAAGTCCAACTAAGAAAAGCCCAATTATCTTGTGGTCTAAAAATGTTGTGAAGAGTGATTCCAGAACAAATTGGGCTGAGGCCTTCCACACCCCAATCTGTCTGCACAAATCGGCCCTTTTTTATGTTTATGGCACTCTTCGAAAGCTTATACAGAAATAAGCACAAATTGGGCTGAGGCCTTCCACGCCCTAATCTGTCTTCACCCTTTTACATGTTTAAGGCACTCTTCGAAAACTTCTACAAAAATATAACGTTCAAAATTGAATCTACCCTCGAATGCGGGTTGAGAAAATGCAGGACATGAGAATTTTGCAGTAGCAAATATGTAAAGAGATTGTAATTAACATTTATTTGAGGTAAACAACGGGGCGGGTTAATTGCCTTAAAATACGGGTCAAACAAGAATCCATTGTGTCTTTTCTTAAACTCTAAGCAATATTTAGGATAATTTATATAATATACATTTTCTCCACACACAGTATTTATTTCCCTACATCACCACCCACCTTGAGATAGCTTCCCTACAGATTCAGAGCCAAGCAAAACTTGTTTTCGTTCACTCATATCTCGTATATTCTACATTGAATTATTTTAATTATGAGATAAGCTTTTTATTTATATATTGTTGATTCCTAAGTATAATTTCAGATTTTGTTTCATATATAGGTATGAGGGTTAGCATATGGAATATCACAATTTTTGAAATAATCTGCTTAAACCTTATTGAAAAGAAAGGATATATTTATATTATAATATATATGTCATATTTTTGTATATTATATTATTTTAATGTAAAATAATATATATTGGAATAATATAACTGTCTAACCATTACTCAACCTAACATAGTAGCTACATATGCGATATTGTAATAAGATGTACAATATTTTGCTCCCAAAAAGCCAAATATTGAAGCACATTAAATTCAACATTGTACAAAATTTGTACAAAAATTAAATTTTATGAGGAGACCAAATTGTTGAGAAAATTATATCTCTATTAGAATCTTATTTATATTGTACAAAAATTCGATAATATAACATTTTGTGCAACGGCATCACACTATAGTACCTTCAAGGTTAATAATAGAACACATTTGCATTGCCATATTGAAAAATATAAATGCAAACACTTTTGACTAATCTTGATCTCAAACTGAATAAAAAATTAGTTAAAAAAAGCAAAATATTTAATATACCAACCAACATCCAATTTGAACAACCCACCTAGACCGGCTGACTGTTGACCGACACTATAAAATAATTATGAATTTTCAACCGAAATATATTTCAATGTTATTATTTTCACCAAATTTTTCAATTGATTCCGACGAACATATTTCCTCAGAATGAGTGTTCATTTGGAATTTCCGTTGGAGTTTGACAAATCCAACGATAGATTTTTATAAATGGAAATAAAAGTTTCAATAAAAATTTCATATTTCAACGAAAATTCTACATTAATAAGTCGATAAAAAAAAATAGTCATTTCAACTTCCATCAAAATTATAATGAAAAACTCATTAAAGTATATTTTCATTGAGATACATTATCATTGAATTTTTTGTTGAAATATAAGATTTTTTTTTATAACGTGACCCGTGGAGCTTGTCTGGATCGGGTTTGAAAATCAATGGTTTAGTTTAGTATCGCCATTTACTTGTGTTGTTAGGAATTGTTCCACTTAGAAGCTAGTGTGTTTATAGGTGAGAAGTCACAGTTAAAGTAGCAACGTTCCATTTTTCGGCACAAACTAACTCGCTGCTGTTTGTGCAAAAGATTAACACGGCTAATTATATATCCACGAGGTGTTGTATCATTTTCTGTGAGAAAAATGCTGAAAGCGTCGACCTTTCTTTTCATAAATTAATGTCCTTAAACATGACAAAATCATAAACACGAGTTAAATTAACGGATTAAGCTCGTTAATTAACATATGATTAGCAGTGTAAAGTCTTGCAGGTGATTAATGTGACTTCCTTTTCACAAATTCTCAAGATATCTTACGTAAAAAATTAGNATTGGATTCGAACCCTGAACCTCATGCATGATGCAACAAAAGAGGTGCATTGTCCACTTGATGTAAAATTAGACCTTTATCAGGGTCGAAAGAAAAAACGAGGTATCTTCGGGAACCAAAAACTTATTTTGCCCTCACGTGACCGAGCTAGTATTTTTATTAAAACTCAATAAGTATATTAATTCCAGAGCCCCTCATTCTTCTCTGTGGGCCATATTTTGTCTCCCACTGCAAATAAATAGAGTCATTAACATATCTCAGTTCACATCAACTATCGATAGGTGGGTTGGTTCTTGGAATTGTTATAATGGACTTACATTATTTTACGACGCAGTGATCCGTGATTCGATTATTGGATTGGGGGGTTGGATAGGCGACTCAGAAAGTGTGTGTTGGGCGGCTTTTGAAACTACTCTTCCAAGTTCCTTTTCTTCACTTGTAGTCGAAGCTCTAGTTCTCAGGTTTGGATTGCGTTTTGCTCATGATTCGGGTTTTTCAATTCAATATGCTAAAACGGTTGCCCTAGCAGTTATCTGTGGTTTGTCTGAGCTATCGCCTAATGACACCTTGCATCAAGTTTTTGTGGACATTTTATCGCTTTTGTCAAAACTCAATTGTGGGTCTTGTTGTCATATAGAGCGGAATCATAATATTGTTGCCTACCAGTTAGCTAAGCCGGCCTTGTCGGCGATGAGATCCTTCTTGTGGAAGGACCGTCTCCCGTATTTTCTATCACCTCTTTTTGTAACGGTCGGAGCTTAAATCTCCATTGATTGTTAATGTTATTGTAATCGAAAAAAATAATAATAAATAAATAAATAAATTACATGTCAGATTTACTCTACATTGTAATTCACTCTTANTTATTTAAACTAGCCGAACCAAGATTGTTAGTGAACATCTTGTTTTTATTTTATTTTAAATTTTTCTTATAAACTTTAAATGAAATACTGAAGCCCGAACTTGTTTACAAATATCTCGTTTAAAGTTTTAAATTTTTTAAACCAGCAGTCAGGCCGAACTTTTGACTCGTTTATTGTTAAACGAGCACGACTCAAACTGGAGCTACTCAGTTCAAATAGCCAACACTACAAATTAACCAACCAATATTATTTTGTGTGTTGAGTGAATCCTCGTACAAGCGTCAAGAAGAGTAGGGGCCAGAAAAAAAAAATAAAATAGAAAATCAACTGCCTATAGTTAATTATATTACATTCCAAATTAGAGAGCCAATAATATTAGTAAAACTCGTTTTCAGTTCTCTAATCACCATACCCTCAATCTTTGGCAGTTTCTTTAATGAAAAACTGCATCTGAACCGTCTTTTTCCTCTTTGTCTTGCCTTTTAAGCACTCTTTCACTCTCATTTATCCTCACACACCCTTCTCTCTCTTTCTCTCTCTCCCCACAATCTCTCCCTCTCTTTCTCTCTCTCAATTTCTTGTTTGGCTCAATTAACCGATACTAGTATGCTTGAATGTCCACAGAAAGGTAATCCATCATCACCAATTCACCAATATATATGTATATTTTGATCCTCATCCTATA